TGTTTCTGTTTTGGAAAGAGTCTCTAGTGATGCAAAAATATTTTTGTTTCATCTGTTGCTATATGTGAAGGGCACACTTAATCACAAGGGCAACAGGGCAAGGTGTAGCTTAGCTTCGCTTTCTCATAGCAGTCTTATAGGCAAGCAGGATGAGTAAACTATAAATAGAATCAAGTTTATATATGGGTTATGCTATGTTTTACATGTATTGCCTCAGCTCATTCAATAATACTCTCTCTAAACTCCATGCTTCCTAGAATACTTTCTTAATCACTATTACTGATAACATTTTCTTGTACCTCCCCAAAGGGAGAGGTATCTGTTAATGTGCTTCCATTACTTTCAGTATAATGTTCAAACTCCATAGCAAGGCATGGAAGTCCTCTCCAGGTTCCTCTTCTACCACAGATCCATACTATGCCTCAGCCATGGTAAGTCACTGTGGCAGGTGGAATTCTGGGATGGCTCCAAAGATTCCTACCCCTTGGTGTACACAGTGTCTCTAATCTCCTCTCTTTGCTTGGCCTGGACCTGTGAATGTGATAGGATAATCACTCCCTTGACTACTTTACTTAGTATAGGACTCCATTTTAGCAGAACGAACCGTGTTTACCCTTCTGGCCTTGAAGAGCTAATTGCCATAGAGTGGAGAAGGCCATATGGCATAGAATGGCAGGTGGCCTTTAGGAGCTGAGAACAGCCCTCAGCTTGCAGCCAGCAAAAGTGGGGAACTCTGTCCTGCAATTGCAAAGAACTGAATTCCACCAGCAACCAGTTAGATTGGAAGGAGACCCAAGCCATAGCTGAGTTTGCAGCTTTAGCTAACACCTTGATTTCAGCCTGGTGATGTCCTGAACAAAGGGCTGAGCTAACCTAAGCTCAGACTCCTGACCCATGGAAGCTGTAAAATAACTTTTGTTCTTTTAAGCTGCTAATGTGGTATGAATTTGTCATACAGCAACAGATAACTAATATAGTCATTTAGTCTGTTGTATTCTCTTATCCCTGACCACCCATTTCCCTTAATACAATTTGTATTCCATGGGTCCCTATCCAGAGGCCAGTCATCAATCCTTTTCCCCCCTCAGACTTGCCAACTTCTTCTACATGGAAAAAAATGATCTTTTTATTCTGAAATTATATTCTATATTTGGCCTTCATCTCCTTGGATTATTTTTATTTGTAAAACTACTACTGGCTTCATATTCTGTTTTAATATTCTACTAAATGCATGTAACTACACATATTTTATAAATTATTTTGTATTCTTCACAACTCAGTTTATAAGAATACATGTCTGAAGAAATGTATTGATCATATCATTTAGGCTGGGTCTTGAAAAAAGCATGAATCAAACTGTGTGTGCACTAGAATGGCTCCTGTGTGGGGCTGGTCTCTAAGGATGGGCTATGAGGATCCACTCTTAGCCCCATCAAGATTTTCTTTTCTATCAATGATTTTGATGATAATAGATAATATATGTGTCAATATCATGATTGGCATGAAACCTGGAAGCACGGCACATACTTCGAGTAACAGAATTACTACCTGGAGAGATCATTTCAGGTTGGAGTGATGGAACAACATTAAGGTTTAATTGAATAGATATAAAAGCCTATACTTAAATTTTGTTTTCCTTTGTTTTGTTTTTTCTTTTTTGAGACAAAGTCTCACTCTGTTACCAGGTTGGAGTCCAATGGTGCAATCTCAGCTCACTGCAACCTCCACCTCCCGGGTTCAAGTGATTCTCCTGCTTCAGCCTCCTGAGTAGCTGGGACTACAGGCACAAACTACCACACCCAGCTGATTTTTATATTTTTAGTGGAGACGGGGTTTCACCATGTTGGCCAGGATGGCCTCTGTCTTTTGACCTTGTGATCCTCCCCCCCCGCCTCGGCCTCCCAAAATGCTGGGATTACAGGTGTGAGCCCCCATGCCTGGCCAGCCTATATTTAAGTTTTTAAAAAATCAATCTAGAAACAAAAGTTGGGTTGAGACAGACAGCATATGCAAATATCTGTAGATTTGTTTATTTACGAGTCAGTTTAAATCAGTGGTATAATGGATCATATAGTAGACTTTATTTAAATCATGAAGTTACTTTTAGACTGCATTAATTGAACTGCTGTGTCCCAAACAAAAAGGATAATCCTCCTTTGATCTATGTGGGTCACATGACTCCCGGAGGGCTGGGTAGTTCTGGGCACCTCCTTAAATGGGGTCATGGACAGACTGGAATTTCTTCACTGGGTAGGGGCCAGATGGGTAAACAGATTTACAGGCATGTCCTACATGGTGGAATAATCTGAACTGTGGCTCTTTCACCTGTAGAAGAGAAGGTATTTAATATCTAAAAATTAGACCTATTTTTCACCCTTTTGGTGAATGGAAATAATAAGGAAATAGATTTTTACTTTATTAAAGTTACCAACATGTAGTGAAGAGCAAAATAGAATGGGTTGCCTTTGGGAGTTATTGACCCCATTCTCCTTGAGATGTACAAATAGAAATTTGGGTGGAGGAAAACAGAATTGCGAGGTCTGTTGCATGTGTTGTTATAAGGAGGTAGTGACTGACTGAAAGACACCAACAAATATAGAGTCTCCAAGTTTCACTAAAGGTGAAGAATACAGAAACATATGGATATGATTTTGTAAAGTAGGGGGTAATACAGCAGATCCCAGGCAGAGGATCCCATGGCACAGTTCCCATGAGAGGGCATCCAGCTCTGAATTAGACCGCCTACCTGGAATTCAGCTCCTGTAGGTGTGAGAAGCAGCCTATAGTAGAAGGTGTTAGTGCCCCACCCAGGCCCCCTTAACAGGGCTAGTGCCCCTGTCCTCCAGCTGCTGCAGATGTTGGCTGCCAGATCCTCCTATCTGCACCATCTGGAGGACTGCCCTTAACAATGACATCTACCTCATCCAGAGATGCCTGGGAGGTTACAGCCTCCATGCCACGGGGCAGCCTTTGGCCAGTGACCACCTGATGCTGAGGTACAGCAGCTCAAGACCCTTATCTCTGTGCAGAATGACCTCTGAGTAGTTTACACCCCAGAGCTCCCTGTGGGATCACACGACTTCTAAATCCACATCTTTGCCTTTTCCCCTGCCCTCTCTTGCTTTCTTCACTCCCTCATGTGTTTCCATTAAGTGCCTGATTTGCCTTGGAATTGATCTCTCAGGCTTTGCTTGTGGAGATCCTTACCTAAGACACTGCCTTTTCCTTGTGTAGGGAGACTTCTAATCTCCTATCTCTCTACCTAACAGGGGGTTTTTACCTTCTCATCTACTCTGTTACCAAGGGCCAGTAACTGGATAAGAGGGTAGATGGGCCAAAATACCACTCCTTTATAACTAAGTAGTCACTTTGCCAGGAGCATCCCCCAACAGGCTCCAGTTTTCTGTTCTGAGGACGTCTCTAGCAACAGTGAAACAGATGCCCCCTGAGGGCTCTCCCCATTCCAACATCAGTGATCCCATTGATCTCATAATCTCACTTTATTCTTTAAAGAAAGAATGCATGTGCATACACTTGCACACACACGCACACCTTTTTGTTTCCTCTGACAATGGCATTTCTCATGACTATGTTATGGAGAGAAAAAGACAGTCATGATTTCATATCTAACAACAGTGTTCAGGGGTTTTTCAGATTAGAAAAACATGGTTAGGCACAGTGGCTCATGTGGTAATCCCAGCACTTTGGGAGGCCGAGGCAGGCAGATTACAAGGTCAGGAATTAGAGACCAGCCTGGCCAACATGGTGAAACCCCATTTCTACTAAAAATACAAAAATTAGCTGAGCGTGGTGGCAGGCACCTGTAGTCTAGCTACTCAGGAGGCTGAGACAGGAGAATTGCTTGAACCCAGGAGGCACAGGTTCCAGTGAGCCAAGGTTGTGCCACTGCACTCCAGCCTGGGCAACAGAGCAAGACTCCATCTCACACACACACAAAAAAAGATCTCTTTTTCTCTTTTAACTGCCTTATGTTTCTTCTTTTTTGTTCTTCTCTCTAGGTGTCTTTCTTGTAGTGGGCACCTGGCTGACCACCAGCCATATAAGGTGGCATGTGGGAAGGCAGGAGGAAAAGCTAGGTGTGGAGGAAGGAGGTCTAGTTTTGGAACCTAGATCAATGTGCCTCTTTCTGAACTCTGGAATTAAGCTGAGTAGCCATGTAACTTTCAATTCATTTCACTTTTCTTAATCTTAACTGTATGTATAAAATGAAAAAATAATAAAATGAGAAAAATAATAATTGTGCCTGCCCCACCTAACTGAGAGGTTCATGAAGACCAAATTAATTAGTGCGTGTGAAGGAATATTGGGAAAATATAAAGCCCTTGTTAAAACACGAGCGATTACTCAGCTAAGATACCAAGATGCAGTCCTGCTTGTGAAGAGCTTGCAAAATAGTAGGAGAGTCGAGACATAAACACAAATAAAAATTATCTAAGGCGGGGGATGATCTGTGTCATCAGGGAGGTATAGCATTGTTCAGAGGAGGGCAAACCCATTTCCTGCTGGGTTAATTTAGTTTTTGAGCCCAAAAGTATATACATTTTCTTCCCTGTGTCTCCTTTCTGGCTTGGAGTCCATAAACGGCAGGATCCCTGAAGAAATCCAGAAAAGTGACAGATATCTGTTGTCTGCCTTTTTTCCACAAAAACTTTTTGGTTAATATATAATAGTTGTGCATATTTTTGTACATGTGATCTTTTCATACATGTGTACAATGTGTAATGATTAAATAAGGGTAATTAGTACATCCATTGCTATAGGCATTTTTTCTTTGTGTTGGGAACATTCCAGTTCTAGCTATTTTGAAATGTAAAGTAAATTGTTAACTATATTCTCCTTGCTGTACTTTCAAGTGCTAGACCTTATTCCTTGTATCTAACTGTATTTTTTATACACATTGACCAGCTTCTCTTCATCTTCCCCTACCCTTCCCAGCCTCTGGGAACCATCAGTTTCCTCTCTTCCTCCATGAGATCCACTTTTGTAACTCCCATATATGAGTGAGAACATGTGATATTTTTCTTTCTGTGTGTGGCTTATTTCATTTAACACAATGACCTCCGATTCCATTCCATGTTGTTGCAAATGACAGAATTTCATGCTTTTTTGGCTGAATAATATTTCATTGTGTATATATACATTTTATGATAATGGAGAAAAGCACCAGGTCCATATACATTTATTTGATTGATATAGGGACTGGATGATCTGTTTTGAATCAACTCTCTGCAATGAGACTTAAGGGTTTCCATTTTCTAAAGTGGATTTTACTACATCGGCCAGACCTGTGAACTGGAGTGTTTCTATCTGTATCTAATTTAGCATTGATTAGCTGATTCTTTGATCATCATGCTAAGAGCTTCACATTATTATACATCACACAGAAGAAGAGACTCTTTCCTGGTAAATGAGAAGTGCTCAGAGCAATTCAAAGAAGCTGGACCCAGGTGGTGAGATGTACACAATCTTCCAGACCACACCACCAGGGAATAATGTGTGCTGTAAGCATAGAAATGCATCCTCAGAATCTGTGCGCAAGGGCAGTGCCAGAATGTGAAATGTAGAATGCGTTCTGGTAACTTGAATTATTTTCAATGGCCAGGCTCAGAGTAAAGCTAAAAAGCATTCATTGCTCTTGTTCAAATTCCAATTGACTCAAGCAGATACTTTTTTAAAACTTGAGAAAGAGAAGTGTGTGTGTGTTTGTGTGTGCATACTGTCTATATATTTTAAGAAACCTGAACTTTGAGTTCTGACTCTTTCGTGATCAAGTCATGCGTCGAGGCGTGTCATGTTTACAGCTGTGCATTTATAAACTGGGCCATCCTTTTCTGAGGTTATGAAAAACATGGAGTGGTAAGTACTGTTCTTTTGTTCCCTCACAGTGCTGGGCTTTCCCCTCTGTGACTCAGTCTCTTGCCAGTATCCCTTCTTCTGTTCTTTTTTTCCCCTTAGAAAGGCAGTATCTCTTTGGATCTCCCTTACGTATTCCCTATCATGAGAAAAGCACGGCTCCCTGCACTTGCCCCTAGATATATACTATACGTTGTTATACCCGGGTTATTTCTTTTCTCTCTTTTTCCTTAAACAGGAATTTTATTGTTTTCTGACTCACCCCGAGGTCACAGCACTTAAGTGCCATTTTTAATTCTCTCCCAGTCCCCACTTTCTCCCGCCACTGCTCGGAAGGGCACATTTAATGATTATTGTGTATAAGCATTTATGTAGTTTTTTGCTTTCTCTAGTCACTTACACAGCAATTAATTTCTACTTCTGTGAAAGAGAATGAATTATACTGAGGCCTAATCGTCTATTCTTTCCAAACGGTCTGGACGGGCCGCGGGGGAGGAGGCCAGCGCTGCATCTGCATGTGTGCATATTGCTGCGTGCTTTGGTTTCATTCCTGGGCCCACATTAGTCATTGTTTCCTATCTTGCCTTTTCAATACTTTGGGGACTGATTTGGTTTTAAGTTGTTGAGTGGGGGTGGCTAGAGCCAGGCTCTGCCTTCTGGCATTGTGGGAATATGGGAAAGCTTCCATTCCCCTTGGCTTCATGTAGCAAATATACCGGTACTTTGTACAAGGCATATGTCAAATGTCGTGAGAGGTATCTCATCGAGTTAGGGAGAGGGGAAATGTTCACCTCCACATGGGGATGCTCAGGGCTCTGGGGGTTTGGGTGTGGCTCTGTGGTGCCCATTTCCGTCCTTCACCTACCAGCCCATATTGCCACATTTGGCACAGCAGCTGGTCTGCACCCCCTCATGTCCATCTATCTGCATCTGGTTTCTCTGACATCATCGGTTTTTTTAATCTCCTGTGTCCCTCTGCCCACACATTTCCTGTCTCCTTCCCTGCCTTACTTTGCCCAAGTGGTTCTTTTCTCTAGGGTTCTGATTTCCTCTTTGCCTTCTGTCAGCCCACTCAGTTTAGTGTCCGTGGTCCCAACCTTTGTTCTGTCTTCCTCCATCTTTGTTTTTCACGGCGTGGCCAGTGATGCTGCCATACACCTAATGAGCCAAAGCGGAAGCCTCCAGGTCATTGTGGACCTCATCTCTCCAATATCCAGTTGGTTTTCAATGAAAGCAACTCTAGTTCAACACCTCCCTCTTTTCACCCCAACAGCCCCTCTCCCAGACCTCAATTATTGCTACATACTGGATGCCTCTAACAGTTTTACCTATTTTATTTTTATCCAATCTGAGCATGCCCCATCCCTGATGACAGTTGTCTCTTTAATCGCTGAATTCTACCCAGTAAAATTCAGATGACCAGTACGGCAAGCACAGACTGGTAGCAGCAGCTGACCTTAGCTTCATCTCCAATTATTGTCTATTCCCTCCCCATGACATGCCAAACACGGTAACTTCTCCTTTTAGAGGAAGCCTCTCTGCTTTGCACACATCATTCTTTCTCCCCAAAATGTCCTTCTTGTCTTCTCCAGCTAGTAAAGATCTATTCTTCTTTCAAGACCACCTTGTGAAGTTTTGAGGGTCGCCTCATATTAAAGTAGCACTTTCTCTGTGTGTCAGCTGAGTGTTTTCTGATTCTCTGTCACAACATCCAACCCTATGCTGAGTTCAAATCAATGGGAATGTTTTGCATGTACAGAATAGTTTCTGGATGGCAATGCTTTTTCACAGTTTCTCTCCATGGTGAGTTGGAGAAAGTGGAGATATGAAAGAGAGCTTGTGCTCAACATTACTTTGGTGTCTGTTCTATTTTGGTCATGTTTGATTCCCATGCACTGTTATCTACACCTTTAGGAAAGTGTGTCAAATGTCCTGCCACTTAGGAGGATAAGAACCTGGGCAGAACACTTGATGATGATGGCCAGTCAGCCCTGTTCTTGAAAGCAACTGCCTTGAATTAAAAACAGAAGGAGCCAGGGCAAATCTATATGGATGCTTAAAGCTAGGAATTTTTTGCTAAGAACAAATTTGTGAAACATCGAATATATTTTTTAAACATAAATTTAAGCTGAGAACTGCTAGTCCTCTTTTCATCTCCCTTTTTTTTTTTAAAGCATAGAATTGGGACTGCCTGGTTAATCAGTACCCAAAGTAAAGATAACCTAGGAGCAGTTGGCACTAGAGAATTCAGATACAAGATAAACCATCAGAGAGGAGCAAGAGGGTAGACTGAGAAGGCATTTATTGGACTACCCAAACAAGCACATCATCTTTGCATTTTAGAGCTGGAGCAATCAAGTCTCTAATTGTAGCTGAGGGATGGAGGCCTAGAGAAGTCGAGCAGCTGTCAGGACCCTCAGCGTCATGGCTGTGAACTCTTTACTCCCAGCCAGAGTCTTTTCCCCATGTCCTTAGTGTACATGGAGGTTTGAAAATGGCTTATGAGGGAAATAACCGAGGGCAGTCACTGATTGCAAGGCTGAATCTTCATTTCGAGAAAATAAGGTGGACAATAATAGTAATAGAAGCCAAGAATTTTTACTGGTTTATTTAATTCCATCCCCACAGAAATCCCTATGAGATGGTGAGTTTGTTTCCTATTGCTGCTGTAACAAATCACCACTGGCTTAGTTGCTGAAAACAACACAAATGTATTATTTTACAGTTCTGGAGGTCGGAAGTCAGAAATGAGTTTCACAGAGCTGAAGTCAAAGGGAGTATAGAACTAATTCTTCCTGGAGGCTCTAAGAGAAGAATCCACTTCTTGCCTTTTTCAGCTTCTAGCGGCCACGAGTCTCCTTGATGTTTAGCTTCTCCCTCCACTTTAGAAAGTGCATCGCTCTAATCTGTGCTTCCCTCATCCCATAATCTCTTTTGCCTCTGACCCTCCTGCATCCTTTTTATAAGGAATTTTGTGACCATACTGGGCCCACCAGATAATCCAGCATAATATCGTCATCAGAAAATCCTTAGCTACATTTGCAAAGTCCCTTTGCAAGATAACATATTCAAGGTTCCAGGGATTATGATTTGGACATATTTGGGCGATCATTATTTAACTCACTACAGATAGGTATTGTTATTATTCCCATTTTACAGCGGAAGAAACTGAAGCTTTGAGAGATTAAGTATGTCCCATAGAGTTAGGTAGTGATTAGAAGTAGAGTCATTCATTCTTTATCTCTGGAACTGAGTAGAAATAAAAAAATAAGTGATATAACTGAATTAAAGATAAGCATTATACAATATTATTAGGTATTTTTAGACCAAAAATATACTAAGCCTGTAGTCTGAATTATAAAATATAATCCATGATAGGAAATATGAAAGTTCTAAACATTTTTAAAGGATGACATTCTCTCATAGCTTTAGGAAATCACTGGACTATGCCACCATCCAGAGTCAGTCATCCAACTAGCTGTTATGATCTGATATTTTCATTTTCAAACCTTAAATCAGCCTCAATACATTTCTATCCATTGGCAGCAGGTAGCCACTCTATATGTAATATAAAGCTAAAATTTTTTTTGAAATTTCACAGCATTTCTTTTTAATTTCTGAAGTTAGCTATCACATTTCTCCTAAGCTCTCTCTCAGTTGAATATCTCAAATTCAAGTTCACTTAGCCATTCGTGTGAAATGGATTTTCAACACCCCAGTGTCTATGTTAACTTTCCCTGAAGCTCTTTATTTTTTTCAAATACTTCTCATAAAATATAGGTCTAAGAATTGAGCATGTTATTGCAGATATAGTTTTAGTGCTGAATATGATGAGAGGTTCCCCTCTCTTAATTAGAATGTGTATGTACCTCTGTAACCTTGCCCTATTGACATAGAATTAATGGAAAATTAGACAGCCTAGCTCATTTCCAGAAAGAACCAATTTTAAGCTGTATGTTGACTCATAACCCACTTGAAATGCAGAGAAAGAAGCAAAATGTTTCCTTACACCTTGGGTTTCCTGCCAGTGCCTACATAGCTTTGGTGGGGTTAAGGAGGCCTGCCTTCCTTGGTCTTCTCTTTTTCTTTTCTTTCCTTAATTTATTTTGTGTATAAATAAATTTACATGTTATAACATGTATGTAGGCTATGAAGCTTGGTAATGGAATAAATCCCCCATGAAGCCAATACTTCATGAAAGTGGGATATTACCAATAATGTTGATATGAAATATGTAGTATTCCTCCCCGATCCTATCTCCTGCCTCCCCATGATCAATTTTGTGTTTATCATTTGGATGAGTTTTAGCCATACTCCATGTGTGTGTATATCTTTCTAAATAATATATTCTAAAATTTGGCTTGTCTGTGGGTTTTATAAAAATGGTAGTATGCCGTGTATATGTTCCTATGACTTGCTTTTCTCATTCATGTTTGTATTTCTGAGATTTATTCATCCAATATATAAAGCTAGAATTTGTCCATTTTTCACTGCTGTATAATATTCTGCTGGGCAAATATAACACCTTGTTCTGTGTAGTCTGTGTAGACTTTTGGGTTATTTCCTCTTTGGAAAGTTTATTGCCAGTGATTTTCTATTACGAACAAAGCTACTGTGAATTTTCTTGCATGTGTCTTTGGTGCATGTTGAGTGAATTTTTCTGGGAGTAGAATTGCTGAATCAGAGGGTAAATGTATTCTTTATTAGGTAATTCAAACATATTTTTCAAAATGGTTGAACCAGTCAACGTTCCCTCCAAGCTTCAGTGCATTTGGGTTCTTTTTGCTCCACATCCTTGCTAATATTTGGTAATGTTAGGCTTTTAAATTTTGTCCATCTAAAATGTAACTTATTGTGATCTGAAAAAGCATGTCTTGATTTCCAATGAGGTTGAACATCTTTTCCTGTCTTTACCATTGATGCTTCCTTTTTTTTTTGGTTAAATACTGTTCATGTCTTCACCCATTTCTCTTTTGATTCATAGTAATTATAAACGTGTGTGTGTGTGTACATGTGTATGTATGACAGAGAGAGAGAGAGAGAGAGAGAGACTAATCCTTTGTCATTTTTAGGTGTTGCAAAGTTCTCCCAATTTTTGGCTTACTATTTCACTTTGTGGAATTCTTTAAATGAACGTATGTTATTTTTGTTGGCAGTCTTATAAATCTTATTTGACAACCAGTGGTTAGATCTCACCCACATTGACTGTCCATAGATTTTTTAAGGTGATGACAGGTACCTAAGGTAACCAATGCCTGAGTTTGTTTGGTGAATCTTCATTCTGACTACATTTTCTGGATAACTGCACATGGATGCAGTATGGAACATTTTGTATTCCTTTGGCTTAGACAGTTTTGTTGAGCCTGGTATCAATCCACACATCTGGAGTACCATCTCCTTCATGGCAAGTTTCTTTGAATGCTTAAGAGGCATGCTTCTTAAAGCCCACTCCCTTTTGAATGTTGTTGATGATTCTTGGGTCACCACCTTGCTGAAGGCAGAATAGCTCTTCTCACCATTACTGTTTGTGGGAGTCATTCTTCTAGGACTTAATTTTTAGTCAAATTTGTCAATCTCTTCTTTTATGGTTAGTAATTTTTAAACTTAAGAAATTCTCTTCTTTCTGTTCTATATTTTCTTTCTTTGCTTTAGGACTTAAATGTCTTTTTTAAAAAATGTTTCACTGAGGTAAAATATACACAAATAACTTACTATCTTTACCATTTTAGATATAGAGTTCAGTGGCAATAAATTTATATTCTTTAAAAATGTCTTTACATTTAAGTGTATATTTCATCTGGAATGGATTCTTGTGTTATATGGCATAAAGTAGGGATCTGATTCGATTTTTCTTATATGAAAAACAGCTGTGCTAACACAACTGGTTGAGCAGTCTATTATTTCCACTTTTGATCTTCAATGCAAAGGCTTTCGTAAATGAAGCATTTATATATAAAGCTGTTTTTGGTCTATGCCATTGAACACTTTGTCTATTTCTATATCCATATCTCATGCTTGCCTTATTTTCTCTTCTTTGTTTTCTATTCTTTAAACTTCCTCTAAGGATCTTGGATCTTTCATTTCATACTTTACTTATGTTCCAGATCAGCCAGTTCCTGAGGATCATTCTGATAAACTCTGCAGTGGATCAGTAACAAAACAAACAGGTCTAATTCTTGCTCATGGTAATTTCTCCTTATAGCACTTGCTAGTGTGTGATAAAGTCCTCATCACCACCAGGATGACAATGAATAATGGGAGACAAGAGGACAAATATGTTCTGTTACTCTTTCTGTAAGATCCTACTGACAATTTTTTTTCATATTTGCCATCATACCACTGTGTTGATTTAAATATTTTTCTTCTAAACTGCTGTCATCCACTCTCCCCAAACACTACATCCTGTAATTTCTAACTAAGTTTTGGATCTTCTGTGCAGTACTTGTAGTTTCTTCTGTGAATTTCATATGAGACCGGGCATGGTGACTCTTGCCCAGCTCAGTACTTTGGGAGGCCGAGAGAGAAGGCTCACTTTGAGGCCAGGAGTTTAAGGTCAGCCTAAGCAACATAATGAGGCCCTGTCTCTACAAAAATAATTACATAAATAAATAAATACCATCTGATTTATTTTTACCCATTTCTTCAGATTCATTTTGAAACATGATTATGTCAAGTATCTACAACCATTCATTTGTAATGATAATTCTCTCACCTTAACCCAAATTAATTGTTTTTGACAACACAGAGCTCAGTGGCATATTTCTACATACCATTTCCTCAAATGACATTGATTAATTAATTAACAGTTGTTCAATTCATTCATTCATTCTTTGTCATTCACGCCATACTCTACAGGCTTACCCTAAAGATATCTTGCAAGACTTTGTCAACTACCTTGCTGAAATAGGTTTATGATGCAACCTTGCATATATGCATATAAGTTGCATGTAACATAACTGCATGTTATATTACATGTACATGT